TCTCTCCTCTTCTCACTTGTGCCCCGCTGTTTTCACTTTGCGCTAATTGTGCTGTCAATTTAAACAAATGACACACAGAAGGCTACCCTACAAAAAAAAGGAAAATAAAATAGAAAAAGGAAAATTACATAAATTTTCCAAAAAAAAAAAAAAAGAAGAAAAACAATTCGCTTGGAAATTGGGTAAAAGCGGCAGCCAGCGATGAAATTCGGCAGATAAAATGCAACAACAAAGGCGACTGCATTCAAATTCAGTGATACCCTAACCGAGAGGGCATGGTGAATCCGTCATGGAATATGTGACATTAGCAGGCATCAGCCTGTACAGTAAACACTCGTTAACAAGCTCGTTTTGTTGCCAGTTTTTGAATGTATATAGAGAAAAAAGGGAATCTTTATTAGAAAATTAAAGACAATACTCTATTTAATGTTTATTTAGTTCTCAATTCAAATCTTTTTTACATTTTTTGTTATCAATTTGTTTGCTAGGGAAAGTCTGCAAAGTCTTTAAGGCTCGTTTCTTAACTATCCATCTAATTTTACTGAACTATGTGAACTCTTCAACTTTCAATCAATTATATCGGAACGGTCTACTATATCTGATAGTTGCCTTGGCAAAGATCTTTCGCAAATTGAGTTTTTTTCCATGAAAAACTAGTTTGATTTTTCAGATATTTTATATAAATAATATATATCAATTAATCGAACTATCGACGTATAGATACCCTATAAAAACAATAGAAAAATACAATTCGATATATATGAATATGGAAATTGTCGGATGAAAGATTGAGCTTTGCCTATATATATCTTTATTATATATATAGATATTTATTTTATATATATAGATATCTTCCTTATATATATAAATCTATTATATATATATATATATCTATTTCATATTTATATATCTATTTTATATATATATCCACTTAATATCCCATCCATGCCAGTAAGGGTATTCATACTTCGGCTTTGCCAATTGTTTTCTTTTCTTTTGTCACTTTTTTTTCCATTTTATTTTCCATCCGTTTTTATTGGCCAATCTCTGATTGCAGTTAAGAGGCGGCTGCCTCATGTTGACTTCTTGTTTTTCTTTGCTCGTTTCTCGTTTTTCTTTTTCTGTTTTTCCGTTTTTCCAACTTGTCGCTGCAACAACAACAACAACAGCAGGAGAAGCAGCTGCAACTTTGGCTCCATTCACCTAATTTCTTCTTCTTGTTTTGGCTAAAACTTTTATTTCCTTGTTTGTTTGTTTGTTTTTTTTGCCTTTTGTTTTGTTTCGTTTCGCTGCGACACAGTGAAAAGCAACAACAACAACAACAAGAAGAAGAAAAACAAATGCGCTGCATAATTTTTGCATTGTTTTGGCCAACTAGCCAAGGGGACGGAATAGAGAGAGAGATGGGGGGAGGGGGGGAGGGGAAATTCGCGTTGTAATTTGTGCATTTAACTAGGCAACAACAGCAACAACAACAACAACAACAACACGTGGCACAGATAAAGCCACAACAACAACAACAACAACAACGACGAAAACAATTTGAATGCAGATTTTTGTTGCGCGACGCTTGTTAACATTTTCGCGCAGCTGATTATGCAACAAAAACAACAACAACAAAATACAGGGTATACAAGTGAAAATTGGTGGAAAAAATTGAAGCAGCATTAAATTAATGTAATTTATTAAGTAATTATATCAAATTGAAAGCTGATTTTATTTAAATAATTCAATTCAGTAATAGTGAAAAATAAATTATAAAATGTCGAAAAAAAACAAATTAAATTTATTAATAAGTTTAAATATATTATATTTATATATTATATTTATTTGATATATATTTGATATATTTAATCAAATTTACAAATATATTTTATTTATTTATAAATTTTATTTATTTATAAATTTTTTTATATGTATTATATATTATTCACTTATTAATAATGAAATTTAAATATTTTATTTAATAATACATTTAATTGATTAAATTATTAAAATTGCAAATCTCTAGTTCTTATAGTTCCAAAGATATTAATTAGAACCTTAAAAGGAAATATTATAAGATTTGTGTTGAAAAGGTAAAATAATTGTAATTTATCGATAAGTGCAATTATCGATTAATTTAGAAAATTGCATTGCTATTGTCAAAGTTTAATATGGCTTTCATTCGAAAATAAAGTTAAAAACAATTATTTTACAATAGTGTATTTATCCATAAATTCGAAAATCACATAGTTGTCACAGCTGATGGAAAACATTTTAATCGATTGTTACTTATCGATTATTAGTTTACTTATCGATAAATCTAATTAATTGCGCACCTATTGTCAGAGTTTGTTGAGCAAGAAAACTGTGCCTCTTATAAGGTAAAAACATGAAGTAATTTCAATTTATCGATTAGTGCATTTATCGATAAATTGTGAAAGTTGCATAGCCAATGTGCCCAAAAGTTTATCAAGCGATAAGCGCAATAGAAAGCTAAAACGAATTTAATTTATCGGAGAGTGCATTTATCGATAAATTGTGAAAATTGCAAAGCTGTATGCTAAGATAAATAACTTATAAAATAATTATTGCTTATCGAATTGAGTATTTATCGATAAATTCTGATAGTTGCATAGCTCTCTTGTCATAGCCAATGTGCCCAAAACTTTGTCAAGCGAAAAGCGCGCCAAAACTGAACAAATTTTGTTGTTGTAATATATATATATATATACATATATCTATAACTATATATGTTTGTGCTTATCCCGGATGTGTTGGCTGAGCGACTGCTAACTGCATTGGCTGCAACTTGGCCTCAACTGCAACTGCAACTGCAACTGCAGTTGTTGTTGTTGTTGTTGTTGTTGTTGCAGCTGTTGGCGGCAAATGGGAGAAAACGTACTTTTTTTTTTTTGGCCTCTGTTGCAGCTACTTTGTTGCAGTTGTTGTTGTTGTTGCTGTCACAAGATCTTTGTAGGCTGCTTTGGCATTTTATTTATCGCTTTGGCGACGAAACGCCGCAGATTTGGAGAGAAAATGAAGATGTTTCGTCAGCTCTCGAATTTTCTATATATATGTATATATATATGTATATATATATGTATATCTGTGTATGTGTGTTTTTTATTTTGTGGCAACTTCAAACGGCGCCTGGCGGAAGCGAATGTTGCACAGAATTAATTGGCTGCACTTTTTGTTGTTGTTGCATGCAACAAAGCAATTTGACAATTTCCATTTCGTTTCATTTGCGCGTTTTCATTTTCAATTGCATTTTCATGTCGCCGTTTGCCCATTTGCCCATTTTGCCCCCTCTCTCTCTCTCTCTCTCTCTCTCTCTCGCTCTCTTGTTGTTGTTGTTGCTTGTGCCGAGAACTGGAGCGCATCGACACGTTGCCGCAAATGTTGCATAATATTTGAAATGTCGCTTCATTTGCTTTGCCCAACGGCTGACGGGGCGTATTAGTTATGTTCTTTGCAAACTATCGATAGTTATCGATAAATTTGGTGTTGCTATCGAATTAACTTATGTTCTTCGATATGTTTTAGATTGATATTGAATATATGCTATTTTTAAAGAGCTTAATGATAACACAAACAATAGGTTTTGATAAATCTTATATCGATATCAAAACGATTAAGATTAATTAATAATATATCGAATCGATTAATAATGATATCGAATCGACTATGACCTTAGTTCGATCGATTGTTTTCGATATGTTTTGTATCGATATCGATGGACTATTTCGATATGAATATATCGAAAATATCGCAACATTTGTTAAAAAAGTTCTATATACTTGATATAAGCTTTTGCTTCGGTATATCGGTTCAATATTTAGTATTTTTGGATTCGCTTTGAACTATCGTTGAATATGATATCAATTATCGCTAGATTCAATGTTATTTCACTTTAAAATATCGATAGATTCGATTTGAACTATTGCAAGTTTCATTCACTTGTGATTTGCTTTCGCCTTTTTCTAAATTCGTGTTTCTCCTGCGAATTGTGGCCCTAGAAAAAAGATCGCAGTTCAACTTCAGAGCAGGCCTATTGATATTATCGATAGATAAAAAATGATCATCCCAAGGTGCATATTTTCGATCAACATCAGCATGTGTCCTTTAGAGCATAATCTTGCCCTTAGAGAAATCAACAATCGTGCTTGAAGTATTATTTATCAGCTTAGAGTAAATAATTCCCAAGGGGTTCATGCAGTATATACATTAATCATTGCTGATGAACGTCGGCGCTCCTCGCCTATACCCTAAATTCCCTTGACTCAAAAGAGAACCAACTCGATTAATCGATTTCTCACTGATCGATTAAACGATTTTTGGTTGATTAAGATGTTCGATAAATCGATAACTATGTTTTGCATGGTCGATTGGTTCATGCATCGATTAATCGATAAATTACTGTTTGATATTTTGAAAGATTGATATATCCACATGTTACTGATCGATAACTCGATGTTTTACAGATCGATAATTCGATATTTTACTCATCGACAAATCGATACTTTGGTGATCGATATTATAGTGATCTACAAATCGACATTTTACTTTTCCATAAATCGATATATTACTGTTCGATAAACCGATATTTTACTGTTCGATAAATGAAGATTCGGATCAGATCGATAAACCGATATTTATCACTTCGTTTCGTTTCACACTCTTCATTTGCCCGCCTCAGATCATTTACCACGCCCACCAACCGGATCACAGCATCCCCCGTTCCCCTCACTCTACCCCCCCCGTAACCCCCCAAACACCCCGAAGATCCCCTCCACAAGAAATTGGCAAACTGAAACCCGAGAAAACAATTTTAATTTGATTTCCAATCGAATTTTGTATTTGATTTATGGAAATATCTATACATATATATTCTGCTCTCTTCCCCTCTCTCTCTCTCTCTCTTTCTCTTTTTTATTTTACTTTTTTAATTTTTACATAATTCGCGCGCTTTTCAACACTTTTTCGAACCTGTCACCAAATCGAAACACACACAGCTTTGCCAATGTCCACGCCCCCGCTGCCACAGCCACGCCCACGGTTAACGGCAGTCGCAAGCGCGCCTTTAGCAATCCGCACATCCCCTCCGCCCCGCTGCTCGGCCCCGACGGCCGCCGCCTCCAGCCGCATCTCTACTACTACGACGAGTCCCGTTCCGGTCGCAGCTCCTTCTGCGTCGACGAATCCCTCTGGCCCGTGGCCGGCCAAATCGCAGCCAGCGACGGCGATCTATATACGACGCCCGCCGCCACCGCCGGCGATCCAGAGGATCCGGAGGAGGCCAGCGATCAGTTCTCGCCGACGCTCTATGGCCGACTCGCGCCCAGCCGGGCCATACCCATACCCAGCCACAGCAGCAGCAGCGCCGGCAACAGTCCACAGCATCAGCATCCGCTCCACCATCAGCATCCGCTGCACCAGCTCCATCAGCTCCACCATCAGCATCCGCTGCACCAGCTCCACCATCAGCAGCGCTCCCTGAGCAGCGGCTCGGCTGCGCCAGCTGCGGCAGCGGCAGCGGCGGCGGCGGCAGCAGCAGCTGCTGCCGTTGGCTACATGGCGTTCAGTGCCAGCCCCACGGGATTCGTGCACGCCTACTCGCCCTTCTATGGCAGCTCGCCGGATGCCCTCGGCTCGTACAGCTATGATCCGGCATTTGGGCCTGGAATTCATCGGTTGCAGGTGCCGCGCGAGGCGGCCGCAAGACGTCCACGCTCGCCGCTGGATGGCGCCACGGTGATGGCTGTCAACAGGTCGGTGCTGGTTATTAAATGAACTAACACAGGGTGTTTACGGTTCATTTTGTGTTATCGATTGTCGTTTATCGATTGCCTCTGTGTTGCACGCTGCACGCTGTGAAGTATCAAAAGACCGAACACAGGGTGTTTACGGTTAATGTGTGTTCATTTTTTCTTGATATCGATTGTCGACTATCAATTATCGATTATCGATAGTCTATTGTCAATTATCGATTGATGATTATCGATTGTCGATATTCGATTTTCCTTTATCGATTGTCGATTGACAATTGTCGATTATCGATAATCGATTGTAAATTATCGATTGATGATTGTCGGTAGTCGATTATCGATTGTCGATATTCGATTGTCCATTATCGATTGTCGATTAACAATTGTCGATTAACGATTGTCGATTAATGATTGTCGTTTATCGGTAATCGATTATAGATTATCGATTGTCAATTATCAATTGTCAATTATCGATTGTCAATTATCGATTGTCGATTATCGATTGTCGATTATCGATTGTCGATTGTCAATTGTCGATTACCGATTGTTGATTATTAATTCGCGATTGTCGATTAATGATTATCGGTTATCGATTATCGTTTATCGATTTCCTTTGTGTTGCACGCTGCACGCTGAAGTTCACAAAAAGTAACTCATGAATTCATCAATTTTTGATCGCTTAACCATGAATGTCATTCGGGTTTAGCTGGACATTTTACCGATCTATATACTATATAGCTAACTGTACTATATCGATTCATCTACTACCACAAACTCATTCCCCAAATTATGCCTGGAAATTCATTCGAGTTATCTGCATTTATAGCTCACACGATTTGTATGCAATTCTCATGTGATTCGGCATGTTTTCGTATATTTCGCATATTCAATTATTCGCTCATTTTAATCTACATATGTGTTGTTGGTGTAGCATGAAATTCAATTTGACTTTTCATCATATTTATATTACATAATATTATATATTTTATCTTAAATTATCTATTCCACACACCTTGTTGGACACTGTTCTCTTATTGAACCGAAAGAAAACTCAATTCAATTAGATTAAAGTTTCGAGTTCCAGCTAATGAATGAAGCTATTTTTATATTCTATATGAATTAATGTTGAAGGTTCGAATCCCACAAAAGTGTATGTCGGGAGGTAAATTGCCTTAGATTAGTGAGCCAGTCAAACGATAATTAAATTGAAGGTTCAAACCCCACAAAAGTGTATGACGTGTTGTAAATCTGTCTTAGGTTCGATCTATTGAATAGGTATAAGTAAAGTGAGCCAGTCGAGCAATAATAAATAATTTCAGGGTTCGAACTCCACAAAGGTGTATGGCAGGTGTAAATCTGTCTTGTACTCGATCTTTTGAATGGAGAATTGTGCAGCTATATTATCAAACAACAATTTAATTTAATCTAGGGTTATTTAATAGTGAAACGATTTTCTTATTGATTCTATATAATAAATAGATTTTCTTGCTAATGTTTGCCTTTTGTAGTCGCTTGATCCCCAGACTTTGTGCTCAGCTATGCTAAGCGACTTTTTTCTCTATATAATAAATATATTTTCCTATTAATGGATCATAATATAGTTTTTTATACCAGGGTCAGTTTTTGCGGAAGATCTTCTCCAGTTTCATCCCACAAAAGGTTGTCATATCTCTTCCTAGTTAAAGCTCCTGCGAGCAGCGCCCTTGCCTTCCCTTTCGCAGTTCCGAGTGCAGCTTATGTAATTTTTCATTGTAACTTAGGAAATTGTTTTTACTACTCTGATACTTTTTTTTTCTGCTGCTGTCATCGCCTTTGCGAGCTGCATACAACAAATTTCCGGTCTTATCCGCAACAGATGATGCGTCATTTGTCATGATTCACGAGCGAATCCTTTCGCGGGGCAAAAGCGCAATTTATTTTTGCACGAAACGTAGCCCTTTGCCACGGTCTCTTTAATTATAAAAAAAAAAAAAAAGGCAAACTCTGGCTGCCAGAAATTTGCCCCGAAACTCTATTCAATCAGCTTTTGCGCATTTAAAACTCATGTCATGTCCATTAAAAATGTTAACTTAGGACCTGATTCCACTTGGGTCTCAGCTGCGGGCAGCTGCCTTCTGCTTCTGCTTCTGCTTCTTCTTCTTCGTTGGGTTCTGCCTTTCAATTTGCAGCAGCAAAAGAGTTCTGAGTGTGTTTTGTATAAAACGCGTCGACCTGCTGCTGCCGGCCCAGGCATGATGTCATTTCTAAACTTGCGCTTTTCTTTGGGCTTTTGCGTTTCGCATTTCTTTAGCCTGGTTCTTATTTTTTTTTTTTTATACCCAGCACCCACTCGAAATGCTTCAAGAATGGCATATTGCAACTGTGCAAAGGTATGTCACGGGCAGCAAGAGATTTCTGCGAAGTTTTGATCAGTAAGAGAAGCTTAATCGATTTAATCTTAAACTAAGTCGATTTGTGAGATATGTGAAGGTTTGAAGGTAGTTTTTCGTATATCAAAATATATCTTAACTATCACTCGCTAAAATAATGTTTGCTTTATCAGATTTCTGTAATTTAAAAAAATCGATAAATATCGATTTTCACTCTGATATGTTCTTGTATATCAAATAAGCTCCAATAGGTGTGTTGTCAGTACGGTAGACGATTTGCAGAACGAATTAACTTTTATTCTTCTAGAATTTCACAATTTAAAAAATTTCGATAAATATCGATATCCAAAAACTTTAATTTTTATACATGCCTTAAAGATTACGAGATCTGGAGAGCAAAATTTCGGTATTTAGGCTACACGATATATGGTTCCGAGAAATAGTTAGTTAAAATACTCCCAAAGTTACCCAATTTAAAAAATTTCGATAAATATCGATATCCAAAACCTTTAATTTCTATACATGCCTTGACGAATACGAAATCTGGAGAGCAAAATTTCGTTATTAAAGCTACACGATGAACGATTCCGAGATCTAGTTAGTCATAATTCTCACTAAGTGAACCGTTATACAAATTTCGATAAATATCGATTTCCAAAACCTGTAATTTCTTACATATCTTGAAGATGACGCGATCTGGAGACAAACACATTGATATGTAGGCTAAATTATATACGGTTGCGAGAACTAGTTAGTTATGATTCAGCCAAAGCTACGCACTTAAAAAAATTTCGATAAATATCGATTTTCAACCCCGTAATAGTCTTTTGACTATGTTGTTTTGTGGGTGCAGAGAGAAGCAAAAGAAGGGAGAAATGAATAAGTAACTACGCTTAGACCAAAAGTTGATTGAGTCTAGGGTATCTAGCGGTCGATCAGGCTCAGCTAGAGCTTACTTGCTTGCTGATTGTATAACGCCTCAGCGCTGATGATGGCATTGATGATGATTCGTAATAAAAAAGCATTTTTTATATATACACGAGTGTAGGTATAATAAATATTACGCAGTTTTTTTTTTGACCATGGAGCCGAAGAGAACATGAAGAACTGCGCATTAGTTGGCCACAGCTGAGCCAATGCGTCCCCCCCAGGGCACTATTCAAGGGATACCCTCCATTGCCCCCGCTCGATATCCTCCCCTGACCAAGGATAAGCAGCAACATTTTGCGTGTGTTCCTTGATAGGCTGCGCATTAATAAGGGGCGCTTCCATAGCCCAGAGGCGGACCCCCCTTCCTTCTGTCTTCTACTAATTTTTATTAGCTATTTAGTTTCGGTTGGTTTCGCTAGCGGGGGGGGGGGGGGGGGGGGATTCCTTTGAGCTCTGGAATGCGCAGCAAATTAAAAGAAGCGAGTCGCAATTGAATATGTGGTTTATCTTGTGGAAAAGCGTCTAAATTGTTGGGGGTGGGAAAATGATTTGTGGGCGTACGCTTATCAGCTAATGCCTGGCAAAAGTAAAAGCAAACTGTCTTGTCCTTGAGTCAAAAGTAAATTATATGTTGCGCAGTTAGCACAAACTGAGTCTTGTTAACCATGGCAAGACATGTATGTATTTGCCTTTCATGTGTAAATTTGTCCTTTACGACTGTCAACAGTTTTAATTAACATTGTCGAAAGCATGAAGCTTGACATAGATTACAGTTTTAGTATTTAAAATAAATAAAAAATCGATAACTTCTTATTTATGGAGATTTATTAATATCTTTACTCGAGAAGTTCCTCTACAGCTATGAAAACTGTTCCTAATTTCGCTATTGAAATCGATTTTTTTTATCGATACAAGCTGATTAATCAATTTCTGTTATTTGTGTTATCGATAACTTATCATTAATGAACATTTATTGCAATATTTTGTCAAAAGACGCCTATTTTATTTATATTTATCGATAAAACTGTTTCCATTTTCACATTTATTTACGCATTTTTATCGATAATTTATCCTTACTTGGCATATATAGCAATATTCTGCCGGAAGGTGTCTCGCTTGCTATTAAACTGTTAATAGCTAATATTTATCTATAATAATCGATAAAACTGTTTCTTTTTTCATTTTTGATTATACATTTTTATCGATAACAAGCTGATTAAACATTTTCTGCTGCCGTGCTCGATAACTTCGATAACTTATCGTAAATTGCAATATTTCGTCAAAAAGTGACTCCTTCGCTTTTAAAACTGACATAATTAATACCTAACGATAATTATTGATAAAACTTTTTATTTGCACATTTAAAGACGGATTTTTATATCGAGAATTTTATATTTCATGGGCATTTATTGCAACATTCTACTTGCTAATAATATAGTATAATATCTGAATATTTATCGATAATAATCGATTAACCTGACATCTAACATCTCCTTTGATAACAGACTTTTATCGATAATAAGCTGATTTTATCGATAACATATTGTTAATAAGCATTTCTTGCAATATATTGTCGAAAAGTTTCGGATTTGCTATTTAAATAGCTAAGAATGGATATTTATCGACAACAATCGATAGCTAGTCTAATCGAAAACTTATCGTTTGTTGTTTTAGTATGTCATAAAACATTAACTGCACTGTGCCGAAGATTAAAGGTCCTTGCACA